CTGTGGTTAAGCTGTTGACGAATACAGCCGTAATATGCCAAACTGCGGTCGTAGGCTATGTAATATTGTCTGTCAGCCTGCGGTCATCTGCGTCTGCGCATTTCTGGCAGCCTTCAGCGGTCTGACAGCCTGCAGTCATCTGCAGGACGTTCTGTCAACCTGTGATGAACTGTGGGGCATTAACACGGTTTCAAGATTTGCCTTAAGCAATGAGCTACGAAGGGATACTGGGAGAGGAGAACTGTATACTGTCGTGGAGGGAACATATTGTCTACACAACTGGAAATAAAAAGCACTCCAACACACTCACCCCCAGCAAAGTCTGCCGTTTTCTATGGCGGCTTCAGTTTAATCCGCAGCCTCTCACTGTGGCGGAGTTACCACAGTGGAAAATCCTGCTTTGTCACGCCTTTCATGCTCCCACCCCTAACTTTTGTGGTGAGGGGGCTCGCCCAGCGCCGCCCCACACTGTTTGCATCTAAACCTTTTTTATAATTTACTTATTTACGAATTGTTGACCAAACTACACACTAGAAAGTGAAGGGCCGACGACGTTTCGGTCCAGGATGGACCATTTTCAAGTCGATTGTGACAGTCGACTTGAGAATGGTCCAGGATGGACCGAAATGTCGTCGTCCTTTCACTTTCTAGTGTGGTTTAGTCAATATATTTCAGCCACGTTATTGTGACTCCTCGTCTGCTTATGAACGAATTGTTTCAACAAGGTTTATGTTGTGTTGATGCTAGGCTTGCAGGTATACACGATAACGTGAACCAAATCTGAACAGGTTTTCGAGCAGAGAACTTGTATATTCTTGTAGCTCTTGGGCCCCAGCCTCACTGACGGACTATCTACATCCCACCATCAAGAATGTTGTGGTTGATGGGTCCCATGGTCGAGGACAAGAAGTACGCTAGGCTTATTATTGAGGCCTGCTGATTCGATTTAGTTCACTGTTGTTGACGGTAAATTACATGATTAGATTATTTTCTCCATACTTATGAAAAGGTGTACGGGAAGCAATCGTAAATGTTATCAACCTATTAAATACTTAAAAAATGGCAACACTAGTTAATAGAGTAATGGATGAAATGATCTGGTACTATATAGATCATCAGTAAGCAATCTAAGGTGCTAACTCAAGGCACAAGTACACATGTAAACAAGGTTCATTGTTCTCTAATATGAATGATGCCTAATTCATTCATTTGATGAATAAGAAGATGCCTAAGCATGAAAGGGGAGAGCTGGGGGAGGGATTGGAAAGGATTAGGGGGGACGGGGGGGGGACGAGGAATGGGGGATGGGGGGAGCAGAGCTCCCGGGCACCGCCGGTTACCTCTTGTCACAAAACCATCATCAAATTACCGCCTCTGGTGCTACTTGGCAACTTTACCTCAATATAAAAAGTCACTAACTGGCAATTATCACATACTAAAATATGACAGTTGCCAGCGACTCCCGCCTGTTGCAACTCCAGCTTGCTGCAACAGACTCAAACTCACTCAAGTCGAACACATGACTTCATCTGAGTCAACAATCCTCTTATTGTACGGGGTTTCCTGGGACACATACATGTGCTTTCCTCCTGGGTTTGACAGGTCGCCTGCACCCCAGCCCGTCCCCCTAAGGGTACCCACCGTCAAGACAACGGTCAGTATAAAGTGTCCTCCCCTAACCTACCAGAGGACCCAAAACAGAAAACGGGACAGTACGTCTTTTTCGTACAGTCTCTGTCAGTACGCCAGCCGCTTCCATTTTCTAGTACGACAATTTTTGGCCTTATGTAACTCATACGAGCGAAAAGCGTCGTTCATCTTAAGAGGACAGGTTGTGTATCCCACGAACTGGCGACTAAACAATGGAATACGCCATGGATTCCTTGAGGTGTAAAGTGTATACCTTGTACAACAACACCGCATGATATTACTGTACTTGTAAAGTGTCCCAGTGTATGCATTGTACTTGTACATTGAGATTACTTACGTTTGGGAATGTGTCCAGCCACACCTGACTTGTCGCTGACTTGTGAAATAATGTCCGCTCTTCTGGACATCAAAGATACTTGTCCCTCTTGTTTTGGGACATAAACTTCACTGGAAAATTCACCAAAATCTTCGTTGCTCTTCACGTAGGCTACACCCACATAAGTCTTTTATTCTGAGACAACCAGAGAGCCTCTGGTGTGTTGTTGTCTGTGGCTGGGGACCACAGACAACGTCTCCACACACACAAGACCGGCGATAATGCCACCAGACAATCACCTCACAAGGCCAGTTGGAGAGCGAATGTTTTTCTCCACCAATAACAAGACGTCACGCCAGACCGGCAGCTCCCATTGGCTACCGCCCCACTGAGTCGTCTTACTTCACATTTCAAATGTGCCCTGAACATTCTCGAGTCCATCTGAAGACTAGAGCAGCCCGTCCTCATCAACAATTGTCAAATGCTCGTTAATCCAGTCGCTATCGAACTATTTATGAACGAAGAAAGGTTTACACGCAACTCCCACGTTTCGTTGATGAACCGTGTTCGAACCTCAAAGCTGCAAATGTAACCCGTCCTCGACTCAAGTCCATTCCATCCAACCAGCCCGTCCTCCATGCAAAGATCCAAAAGTGATTCCATGCACCCGCCAAACCCCCAGCTGTTTATGAATGAAAAACAGTTTACACACGACTCAACTGTTGACGTTCGAACACTTCCGGAACAAGTGCTTCACTGACGACTTTTGTTCGAACCACAACGCTATAAATGCTTCACCCACGTACTACAAATACAAATAATCGCCAACAGAACCTAAATACCTAACCTAACCTATACTATGCACAATATGCTAATATATTATAATATTAATTTATACTTGAGAAAATTCCCGTTTTGAATGAACAGCATGTTAAAATTTATGAATGCGTCTGTGGGGTTGACCGCTGAATGTAATGGACTTGAGTCGAGGACGGGTTGCAGAAATAGTTGGGCACAATTCCTTTCACCTAATGCCACTGTTCACCTAGCAGTGAGTAGGTACTTAGACATTATTATTAGAGCATATCAAGTAAAACTATAATTCTAAGAGGTGCTGCCCTGGTGACCCATGTGACCTGCCCGAAACGCTGCGCGTACTAGTGGCTTTACAAGAATGTAAATACTGTACTATCCAATGTATCCTCACAAACCCAATGTACCTTCTTGTATATATATAAATAAATAAATAAAATAAATAAATAAATAAATAAATAGGTATATAGTTCTCAATTTATAATAGTTTACCTCAAACCAAATAAATTTTCTTTATAGCAAATTTATACCATTTTCTTTTTAGAAAAAACTTAGGGTAACTATTAAAATTTTCCTTTGACAATATTTTTTTTAATAATTGATTTTTATGTATTTATTTATTTATTTCTATATAAGAAGGTACATTGGGTTTGTGAGAATACGTAGCATAGTACAGTAATTACACTCTTGTAAAGCCACTAGTACATATTTATATATTTATTTCTATATAAGAAGGTACATTGGGTTTGTGAGAGCACATAACATTGGTGTTCTTATATTCTTACAAAGCCAATAATACGCATAACGTTTTGGTCAGAACCAAATAATAATAATAATACTTTATATTCAGAAGAATGTGTGTACAAATAACATAAGAGAATATAACAAACTACAATTGTAGAGAGAGGAGTTACACGTAATAATGAAGCCACGATAACGTAAAGCTTTTTCCTGCAAAACTTAGAATTGAGATAACAATTATTTAAAGATGTGAAGGGGTAAACACTGTATGCTAAAAAATTCAAATTCAAATGTTTATTCAAGTAAAGTACATACATACAAGGGGCCAGATTCACGAAAGCACTTACGCAAACACTTACGAACCTGTATATCTTTTCTCAATCTTTGGCGGCTTTGTTTACAATTATTAAACAGTTAATGAGCTCCGAAGCACCAGGAGGCTGTTTATAACAATAACAGGAGTTGAATGGCAAGTTTTCATGCTTGTAAACTGTTTAATAAATGTAACCAAAGCCGTCAAAGATTGAGGAAAGATGTACACGTTCGTAAGTGTTTGCGTAACTGCTTCGTGAATCTGGCCCCTGGGGTGATACAAAAGTTGATGGATTTATAGATAGAGCTAGTACATACAATGCCTAAAGCCACTATTACGCAAAGCGTTTCAGGCAGGAAAAACACTACAGACTAAAACTTAATACTAATTGAGATTAAAGTATAAAATGTGTTGAGAAAATAAGAAAATAAAAAAGGGGAAACATGGCAGAAAAACAGCAAAAATACAATTTGGTCAACAAACAGCATTGTTTCAAAATAACAGACATGGGTTGACATTTTGGGGGTGAGGTAGGTTACAGGGAATTAATTAGGTAGTGTTTAGTTTTTATCTTAAACTGGTTGAGAGAGGTACTGTCTTTAACATGGTTGGGAAGGTCATTCCACATTCTGGGTCCCTTGATTTGTAGAGCATTTCTAGTTTGATTAAGTCGTACTCTAGGAATATCAAAAAGGTATTTGTTTCTGGTGTGGTGCCCATGGGATGTTACAACCTTCAATGAAGCTTTTAAGGTCAGGAGTGGCATTACAGTTCAGCGTTTTATATATGTATAATACACATGAGAGAATGTGCAGTGACTTAATATCTAACATATTCAGAGATTTGAGTAGGGGTACCGAGTGATGTCTGGGGCCAGAGTTGGATATTGTTCTAATAGCAGTTTTGTGTTGAGTAATTAGAGGACGTAAATGATTTTGGGTAGTAGAGCCCCAAGCACAAATACCATAGTTGAGATATGGATAGATAAGGGAGTAATAGAGAGTCACCAGGGCAGGGCGGGGTACATAATATCTGATCTTAGAAAGAATGCCAGTAGTTTTAGTAACTTTTTTTAATATATTTAGAATGTCCCTGGAGGTGACGTTATTTAATCCTGGACTTACAATAATATTATCTAATTGAATTAGATAATATCAAAGTATGGAGAGAGAGAGAGAGAGAGAGAGAGAGAGAGAGAGAGAGAGAGAGAGAGAGAGAGAGAGAGAGAGAGAGAGAGAGAGAGAGAGAGAGAGAGAGAGAGAAGGGGCCGGAGATGGACATAGACAGAGAGCTAGACCCGGGCAATGCTGGGTTCCCATTTTAGTACATCTGTAAGAGAATGTGTTTGTCTGAGGTCAGAAGCCAGGAGCTGGCCTCAGAGATGTGTTTCATAAGAGAAAAAGGTGGTGGTGACGCTAAGTAAAATAAGACTCACACCCCTTAAAGAAGAAGACTGGTAAGTATTGACTACCAGGAACTAAACAGTGGGTTTGGAAGGTATGAGGCCACGGGCCCCAATAACAGGTATATCAAAGTCAGGTATATTTTCCACCCCTGGCAGAGCCTGGACCTTGCCGTCCCGGGTCACGTCCAGCGGGTACCTGTGGAGGGACACAAACTCAATATAGAAAATATAACTATTAGAAAGAACAAGTTTTCAAAGATACTATTTTAGTTTTCAAAGTTGGTAAAACATTTACTGTATATTAAGTACATTTCAGCACTGATAAATGTTGAATACAGGTACTTAAAGTCTTATTAATGACAGTTTGTACCAACGTGTTGCTTAAGACTAACCAACGCACCGGGGGATCGAGCCAAGACCTGCTGGAACACGACATAGTTAATGAATTATCACTTGTAATAATTTTTGCCTTGCTAAAGAGTACTATATTTAACTACTCTATCTCTTCACACACACACAATCCAGCTCTAGCTCTGGATCCAAGAGCCAGAGCTCGATCCTGCAGGCACAAATAGGTGAGCACACACACACACACCTGAGGAAGTGGCACTTGGGCTCGTCGTTTGAGGAGCCGTTGATGTAGGAGTGAAGGGCGTCGTCAGCGAGGTGCCTGATCCTGGTGATGGCTGCCAGGGAGGCTGGGTCAGCCAGGTCCTCCTCCTCCTCTGATAACCCAGAAGTGTGTTCAGCCCACAGAGACCTCCGGAACTCTCCCACAGCTCCGTCAGTCACAGCCTCTTCTGCACCGGTGCTGCCCACACCCACCTGGGCAGGAACATCATCGTGTAATGACATTACTGAGGCAGTTATAGATACAATAACAGTTGTAAACCATTAATTATACGCGTGAAATGTCCTCATATATGTAAGTATAGCCACCATCAAACCCTGAGGCACAGTTGGTCAACGTTTACGCAATTGAATAAATGTTGAAAACGCAACGCTATGCGTATTAGTGGCTTTAAGGATTGTATATACTAGTTCTATCAATAAATCCAACATTATATTTGTAACTCTTCATCTATTTTCCTCTCTTCATCTCATCTCTCCTACCTGAATACAAATTTAAATTTGAATTTGAAAACGTTGATTCTTTGTTTAAGCTGACGTCACTAGCGCATGCGTTGTCTAGTTCGGATATACATATATACACACCTGGCAGGCACTCAAGGCCACCTCGGTGTCGCGGGTGCCATCGAGGGAGCGCTGGTTGAGGTTGGCCGTGCCTATGACGACGTGGGAGTCGTCAGCCAGCGCCATCTTGGAGTGGACGTAGATCATAAAGCGAGACCGTTGGCGCCATTTCCACTCCTCGCTCCCGACCCGCGGGCGCTCCTGCCCCGCCGACCTCGACACCCGCTCCTGCGACTCCTTCTGCAAGTACCACCAACACTGTCTTGTACTGGTACACACGTGTCTTGTACTGGTACACACGTGTCTTGAACTGGTACACACGTGTCTTGTACTGGTACACACGTGTCTTGTACTGGTACACACGTGTCTTGTACTGGTACACACGTGTCTTGTACTGGTACACACATGTCTTGTACTGGTACACACATGTCTTGTACTGGTACACACATGTCTTGTACTGGTACACACATGTCTTGAATTCGTACATACACATGTTTTGAACTGGTACACACATGTCTTGAATTCGTACACACACATGTTTTGAACTGGTACACACATGTCTTGTACTGGTACACACATGTCTTGAACTGGTACACACGTGTCTTCTACTGGTACACACGTGTCTTGAACTGGTACACGCGTGTCTTGTACTGGTACACACATGTCTTGTACTGGTACACACATGTCTTGAATTCGTACACACATGTTTTGAACTGGTACACACATGTCTTGAATTCGTACACACACATGTTTTGAACTGGTACACACATGTCTTGTACTGGTACACACATGTCTTGAACTGGTACACGCATGTCTTGAACTGGTACACACACATGTTTTGAACTGGTACACACATGTCTTGAACTGGTACACACACATGTTTTGAACTGGTACACACATGTCTTGAACTGGTACACACACATGTTTTGAACTGGTACACACATGTCTTGTACTGGTACACACACATGTTTTGAACTGGTACACACATGTCTTGTACTGGTACACACATGTCTTGTACTGGTACACAGGGAAGGTAATTATCAGAGCGAGAGAGAGAGAGAGAGAGAGAGAGAGAGAGAGAGAGAGAGAGAGAGAGAGAGAGAGAGAGAGAGAGAGAGAGAGAGAGAGAGAGAGAGAGAGAGAGAGAGAGAGAGAGAGAGAGAGAGAGAGAGAGAGAGAGAGAGAGAGAGAGAGAGAGAGAGAGAGAGAGAGAGAGAGAGAGAGAGAGAGAGAGAGAGAGAGAGAGAGAGAGAGAGAGAGAGAGAGAGAGAGAGAGAGAGAGAGAGAGAGAGAGAGAGAGAGAGAGAGAGAGAGAGAGAGAGAGAGAGAGAGAGAGAGAGAGAGAGAGAGAGAGAGAGAGAGAGAGAGAGAGAGAGAGAGAGAGAGAGAGAGAGAGAGAGAGAGAGAGAGAGAGAGAGAGAGAGAGAGAGAGAGAGAGAGAGAGAGAGAGAGAGAGAGAGAGAGAGAGAGACACAGAGAGAGAGAGAGAGATAACATGCTCCCAAGGTTATCTAGTAGGCTTCCCCACAGTGATAACCCACGCCTGGGATTACTCACGCCACCTGGCGGAAACACCCCGCACCATTTACTAACTTTCAACACAATATGCACATAACATTACTGCTGATTTTGTGCAAACAAATTAACACAAAACGTATTTTATTTAATCATTTAAAAAAAAGTTTGAAATGTGGAATTTCCCAGAAAAAAAAATAATTCCCGTCACCAGAATATACACCATTAATAAATAAATTATAATTCAATCCTAAATAATTAAATAAATTAATAATTATAACTAAAATAAATAATAAAATCCCATTAGTCAGTTTCCCCCACACCGCCGGCTTCCTGTCTCCCTCCAGACGACTAAGAGATAGTGGCTGTGTGTAGCCAGTACCGCCACAACCGGGGCCCAGGAGCTTTACCTTCCCCAGGCAGAGGAAGAGGAGGTAGTCATCAGGGTGACGCTCTGAGCCCGCCTCCTGCAGCGCCGCCGCGATCCTCCCATACATCATCTGTCAATATCAACACCGGTGAGACACCTAACACTAGTGAGACTCGTACTACCACTGAGAAACACAGGTGAGACACCTAACACTAGTGAGACTCGTACTACCACTGAGAAACACAGGTGGGAAACACACGGGAGAAAAACAAATGAGGATCATACATGTGAGAACACACAGGTGAGAAAGACAGTTGAATTTTGAATTTTGAATTTTTGAATTTTTGAAACGGGTGAGAATTATTCGAGTGATGCACTTTTGTATTTACCCATGCTGGCATGAGTTATCATGGGTCTGTACCCATGCTGGCATGAGTTATCATGGGTCTGTACCCATGCTGGCATGAGTTATCATGGGTCTGTACCCATGCTGGCATGAGTTATCATGGGTCTGTACCCATGCTGGCATGAGTTATCATGGGTCTGTACCCATGCTGGCATGAGTTATCATGGGTCTGTACCCATGCTGGCATGAGTTATCATGGGTCTGTACCCATGCTGGCATGAGTTATCATGGGTCTGTACCCATGCTGGCATGAGTTATCATGGGTTTGTACCCATGTGGCATGAACTGGCATGAACATGTGGCATGACCCATGAGTTATCATGGGTTTGTACCCATGCTGGCATGAGTTATCATGGGTCTGTACCCATGCTGGCATGAGTTATCATGGGTCTGTACCCATGCTGGCATGAGTTATCATGGGTCTGTACCCATGCTGGCATGAGTTATCATGGGTCTGTACCCATGTGGCATGAGTTATCATGGGTCTGTACCCATGTGGCATGAGTTATCATGGGTCTGTACCCATGCTGGCATGAGTTATCATGGGTCTGTACCCATGCTGGCATGAGTTATCATGGGTCTGTACCCATGCTGGCATGAGTTATCATGGGTCTGTACCCATGCTGGCATGAGTTATCATGGGTCTGTACCCATGTGGCATGAGTTATCATGGGTCTGTACCCATGTGGCATGAGTTATCATGGGTCTGTACCCATGTGGCATGAGTTATCATGGGTCTGTACCCATGCTGGCATGAGTTATCATGGGTCTGTACCCATGCTGGCATGAGTTATCATGGGTCTGTACCCATGCTGGCATGAGTTATCATGGGTTTGTACCCATGTGGCATGAACTGGCATGCACATGTGGCATGACCCATGAGTTATCATGGGTTTGTACCCATGCTGGCATGAGTTATCATGGGTCTGTACCCATGCTGGCATGAGTTATCATGGGTCTGTACCCATGCTGGCATGAGTTATCATGGGTCTGTACCCATGCTGGCATGAGTTATCATGGGTCTGTACCCATGTGGCATGAGTTATCATGGGTCTGTACCCATGTGGCATGAGTTATCATGGGTCTGTACCCATGCTGGCATGAGTTATCATGGGTCTGTACCCATGCTGGCATGAGTTATCATGGGTCTGTACCCATGCTGGCATGAGTTATCATGGGTCTGTACCCATGCTGGCATGAGTTATCATGGGTCTGTATGGCATGAGTTATCATGGGTCTGTACCCATGCTGGCATGAGTTATCATGGGTCTGTACCCATGCTGGCATGAGTTATCATGGGTCTGTACCCATGCTGGCATGAGTTATCATGGGTCTGTACCCATGCTGGCATGAGTTATCATGGGTCTGTACCCATGCTGGCATGAGTTATCATGGGTCTGTACAAATGATGATGTGTACCCACATTGTACCTCAACAGAGGGAAATTTTTTAGCAGCATGTACCTGTAGAGAGGGACGAATGTACCTGCACGGGGGAGGGGGTCACGGTACAGACCTGTATGGTGAGGTACTGGTAGTGAAGGATGCTCTTGATGCTGCACCTGACGAAGGGCTGGTCAGGGTTACCCTCAGGCAGCAGCGGCAGCAGTATGTACACCCGGAAGTCCTCCCTCGCCCGGATCTTCTCTACCTAAGAGAGAGAGAGACCAAGTTTGGTCTGGAGAGAGCTTCGAGTCTGGAGAGTTTGGTCAAGAGAGCTTCTCTTGACCAAACCACACACTAGAAGGTTGAACAGACGGACGTTTCGGTCCGTCCTGGACCGTTATCAAGTCGAGTGAGTTATCAATCGACTTGATAACTTGTTATCAGTCAATTGAGTTATCAATGAAGTGTGTTTCATTAAGTCTGAAATCCGGGATTTGTCTTCACTGGAGTTTTAGAAGTTTTCAGTGCATGGCCATACTAAATTTTCTGAGGGAAAATTTAGTTTTTCTGATTTTAATTTCTGAGGGGAAAGGGATTGAGAGGAAAGGAGAGAAAGGAACAAAAGAGGAGAAGAGAGGGAAGGCGAAAGAAGAGGTGACATTAGAGAAAGACAGATGAGTGAGGGGTAGATAAGGATAGGGGAAGAGGGAAGGGAGGGGAGAGAGACCCGGGTACAGCCGGGTATCCCCATGTAGTAGGGTTTGGTTCTTAGGGCCTAGGGTAGTAAGGGGCTCGTCTCACCACTCGCTGGGTAATCTCCAAGGGCACCAGGTTCCTGCAGCAGACTCCGGTGTCCTCCGTCCACGCCTGCGACGACCCGGTGAAGAACTGCAACAGGAAGTGGTGTTCAGTGTTGGTCTGTGTCTCATTCTCTTTACCAGTCTGTGCGCCAGTCTGTGCGTCAGTCTGTGCACCAGTCTGTGCCTCAGTCTGTGCCTCAGCCTGTGCGTCAGTCTGTGCACCAGTCTGTGCCTCAGTCTATGCGTCAGCCTGTGCATCAGTCTGTGCGTCAGCCTGTGCGTCAGTCTGTGCGTCAGCCTGTACGTCAGGATATGAGTCAGACTTAGCCAGTCTAGAATAAGTCTGTGCATCAGTATATATAACAGAGGGGGAGGGTTACTCGCACAAGGGGACACGGGTGGAAACTGAGTACACAAATGAGCCACAGACACATTAGAAACAACTTTGTCAGTGTCAACCTCAAGGTTTGGTGCTGGGACCCATACTATTCCTAATTAATGTAAATGACCCAACTACAGAAGTAGAGTTCTGTACGTTAAGGAATGTCGATGTTTGCAAACGGTGCAAAACTAATGAGAACAATTGTTACAGATGAGGATGGTAAGATTCTCCAAGATGACTTAAACAAGCTGCAAAGTTGGTCAGAGAAATGGCTGCTGGAGTTCAACACCTGCAAAAGTGTAAGATGATGAAAATGGGAACAGGCGTCAGAAGACCCAAAGGAGAAAATACGATGAAGGGAAACTACCTTCTATAACGACTAGAGAAAAAGACCTGGTAGTGGACATAACACCAAACCAAACTCCAGAGGCACATATAAACAGGATAACATCAGCAGCATACTCAACACTAGCGAAAGTCTGAACATTCTTCAGGAAGCTAAATAAGGAGGCATTTAGAGCGTTATATACTACCTATGTGAGGCCAGCGTTAGAGTATGCAGCCCCATCATGGAGCTCAAAGGAAGCAAAGCAAAGCACATAAGGAAGTGCAAAGTGGTCCAGGACACAAATTCAGGCTAAGGAAACAAAGGTGCAGAACGAATATTATAAAGTTTTTTTTCGCAAACAGAGTGGTAGACGGTTGGAACAAGTTAAGAGAAAATGTGGTGGAGGCCAAACCCGTCAGTAACTCCAAAACGATATAAGACAGGCAGTTCTGGGAAGACGGGACACCACGAACGTATCTCTCATCCTGTAACTACACTTAAATAATTCTACACATAGACACACTCACCTGATTCTCAATATAAATGAATTTCTCTGCCCTCCTGACGAGTCGAACCAGGGCCCGGTGGAGGGTGGTGTCGATGACCTGACCACCCCACGAGTCCAGTACGCCCACACGCCCACTGCTGAACACCGCTGAGTTTCCATCAATCGACCTCACTACCTGAGGCATAAGGATACCTTGGGGTAAATCCCAACTCTCAGGGAAAGACTTAAGTCCATAAACACAAAGGGTTATTAAGTCACTAAACCCAGAAGGAAAATCATTAATCACTTGGGTAAGTCATTAATCAGTAGGAACGGTAATTCATCGTACTGTAGAAATTACATAAGCAAATGGAACTGATTCATCACAATAATGAAAGTAAATCTTTCTACCCAAATCCAATTATCTAAAGCTTTCAATCTAAACACATAATGCTTACAGTTATGGGATCAATTACCACAGTAGATCAAGATATTATACACGGTGTTAAGAGGCAAGCTGGTGAGGCTCAGGGGAATTTATGTCCATTCTGTAGGCTTTACATGAATAAAACCTACAGACACATGAGTAAAGCCTACGGACACAGGAGTAAAGCCTACAGACACAGGAGTAAAGCCTACAGACACATGAGTAAAGCCTACGGACACAGGAGTAAAGCCTACAGACACAGGAGTAAAGCCTACAGACACAGGAGTAAAGCCTACAGACACAGGAGTAAAGCCTACAGACACAGGAGTAAAGCCTACAGACACATGAGTAAAGCCTACAGACACATGAATAAAGCCTACAGACACAGGAGTAAAGCCTACAGACATATGAGTAAAGCCTACAGACACATGAATAAAGCCTACGGACACAGGAGTAAAGCCTACAGACACAAGAGTAAAGCCTACGGACACAGGAGTAAAGCCTACAGACACAAGAGTAAAGCCTACGGACACAGGAGTAAAGCCTACAGACACAAGAGTAAAGCCTACAGACAACTTGTAGAGGCTTCAGATACGGGATCAACTCTCCCAAGACAGCGGGGCAGCCTTCAGCTCAGTGACTGACGTGTCTGGTACTGAAATCCCACATGAGGCGGATGTTTATGAAAGTGGTGAAGGACAGTTCTCAAGATTAGGCTCAAAGTTTAGGAAGGTGAGAGTGAAGATCGAGGTGAGAGGGGGGGTGGGGGTGGGGGTAGAAGGTTAAAGGGAACCACAGGTGGGTGGATGTGGATCTGGATTAGAGGTGGGTATTGGGCTTATCCACGGCGATTTGAAAGTTGGATTTTTTTTTTATAATATTTGATCTAATTTGTGTTTTGATTTTCAGTGTATTTATTTTGTACTGGATAGGATACCCGGCTATGTCCGTTTCTCCCCTCCCCCCTCTCTCTCTTCTGCCTTTCCCTTTACTCCCTTTCCTCTCCCTCTTCCGCCTTTCCTCCCCTCTAACAATTTTTCCCTCTCCCCTCTTCCCATTACAGATAACTTATGTTTGCAACTCTACGGAAAACAAGTTCCATATTTCAGATATAAAGACATTCACAAGGCGTCACTATAGATACCGACATTTCTTAAGAGTGGCAAGTACGTCAACCCCGACTGACCTATGACGCTCCCATACCACCCATGTGTCATCTTAAAAAGTTGGTTGAGGTTAGCCCAAGTGTCTAGCCTCCGTCCTCTGACAGACAGATAAACGAACAGATAGAATTTGTTATTGTGATGTTTATTTTATCAGTAAATTCGTTTGTTGTGTCAGCCATCGTTGTAATGTTATCGTGCGGGTCCCTTGATAAACATCGTTAAAGCCAAACTCACCTAAACACTGGATACCGATTGAAACCAGCTTGAGGCAATAAACAAAGAGCCTCGTCCTTAGTTATATTGGGTTCTCTGGCTAGCCTCGTATTTCCTTTCCCAGGCAAGGCATATTCGCCCCAGTGGGCGAATATGCCTTGCCTGGGCATGGAATTGTATATCTTTAACCTTTTATACTAGGCACTCACAGAATGGGTATGCATAATAATAAATAATATTATGGGTGCATAATAAATGAATTAAACTAAATAAAAACTTTTACTCATCGAGGTGAGGCTACAAGGGTCGAGCTAGGCTCTTCGCCCTGTTTCGCAAATTTCTCTTAGAATTTCGTATGTCGTTATTATGTCCCCCACACCGTATCTCTCGTCTCCTCCAGTGTGGTTTAATACGGTTCCCTCAGCCTTTCCCCGTAGCTCAAACCCTTCAGCTCAGGAACGAGTCCTGTTATATATCCTTGGACCTTTTCTAATTTTTCCTTTGTGAGGGTTCCATGCCGGGGCGGAATAATCAAGAGTGGGTCTCACCTTGTATGTGTACAGGGCTTGTAAGACTCCTTCATGCAAGTTCCTGCAGGATACATAGGATACAGGCTCCTGCAGGCCATCATGACACACGTTGTTATGCTAGTGTGTGCTTCATGTACACATGAGCTGTCATCATCGAAATGATTGGACAAAATATATAAATAGTCTCTTTCAAATCATTCATGGCCGGAAGTATTATTAAATAAAGTTTAATATAGTTTAATTATACTATTTCAAACATTAGCCCTGGATTGTATCAGTTAGACACTTTGTGTTAGCAAAATTTCAGGAGCAATTGATAGGATAAACTAATTGTCTTTCTGACTTTAAGCCGTCCCATGTGAAAGGTTCAATTAATTTGCCTTTTGGAGGCTACTTGTCTGAAATTTGACCTTCACATTGCTTACATAGATCGCAGGTAAATTATAGATGAGCTATACTTTTTCACTTGACTTGGCGCCGGCTTTCAATATAAGTTTTATGCACAATTTCACCTCCCACTACTGTTTCTCCCTAGTGGGATGTGCTGTTGTGTGGGGCCTGTGGTGGTCAATCACTACATATTTAACGAAGTCACATATTGCGCACCGCCCAATAAGTCCTCATATTGCGCACCACCCACTAAGTCCACATATTACGAACCACCCACTAAGTCCACTACTGCTCTCTCTCTCTCTCTCTCTTAAGAAAAACTATCAGACGAAAGGTGCCACAATTAAGTCACTATCAGTTAGAAATTTGGATATAAATAACTCGTTAAAGCAATAAACAAACTGACGACCAAAACGTACTGCCACTTCAAGAAGTCAAAGACCTTAAAATAAATATATATAATGAAAATTAGCACATTTTAATTACTATTATTTCATCTTATTATATTGAGGACCTTAGCCAGCCCGTACCTGCATTTGCCAGGAGACTTTGTCATGCTGATTGCCCTTCTGTGGTGCAAACAAAATGTCCTCCTCGTATGTCTGCACCAGAAGATGGACTTTCTTCGGTGCCTGCTTCCTCCAGCACTCCTCGAAGTTTCTGAGGAGGTCGACGGCGGCCGGGCCGGTGAGGCGGGCGTGGACGTCGTGCCAAGGTTCGCGAGGTCCCAGGCTCTCTTTGACGTTTATTACGGCGTTGTGGAAGTCGCCTTGATGCTCCCGAGCCAGAGTGGTGAAGAGCTGGTGCTCCGGGGTGTCCCAGCGGCCTCTGGTCATGTCCAGACCGCCCACGTAGGCCACAATGCCGTTCTCGCCGTCGTCCGCCACGATCAGCTTCTGGTGGTGCGACCACACTGCCTCTACCAGCTTTTCCCTAACTGCAGAAGCTATGTGTCTTTTTCGCTTAGTTTTTACCACGTAAACTCCTGTGTTTTCAAAGTATTTGTCTGTGTCCTCGTCGAAGGTGTTGAAGAGACCCGCACAAAGACCCACAGACAATATTTCGTTCCAGATTAGCAGGAGAATTCTTACACCTTCGGCAGCCTTCTGTTTCAGCAACTCTCCCAGGGTTTCCTTGTCTCGCTTCAGCCTCGTCCCGGTCCACAGACTCCAAGCAGCTATATAAATGAACTTTTTGGCTCGACGGAGTGAATCAGCCATAGCTTCAAAAACACCCTCTCTCGGCGCCACTATTCCCGGGATGGTCACGCCATGAGCATCCTGAAAGAGCGTCAGGGAACCACCCTTGTGCAATGGGAAGTAGGACCTGGGAACCTCAATGCTCTCCTTCCGCGCCTGCGCTGCGGGCGTGTATCTGATCTTCATGACTATTCTACCTTTCCCACCGTCAAGGTACACAGGCCCGTCCTTGCGCCAGGGCTTGTCGCGGTCGCCTAAGGCCACACGTCCACATCCCAGACACTTGGATCGAACGTGATCTTTATCCCACACTTGAACTTTGAGACAGTCAACAGCCTCACAAATAGGAATGATCGCGCGTTCACCCCACACCGCATTTATAGCGTTCTTTCTGACTCCTGTAGTGAGGATTTTCTCTTTACCCAACGACACATTTACCCAGACGTCTGACCAGTCCCCAGGGATAATATGGAACAATGCCTTGTCCTTGTCGGTGAGGTTCTCTCCCCTAACCACTTCCACCTCCAGATCTCCGTGAAGGAGCGGCATATTGAAGGTAAGGTGTCACAGACTGACGTCGTCCGTCACTGGTGACCGCCGCGGCTCGACTGTCCTCTTAAGTGATCCTTCACTAGAGACTTCTGACAACAACGGTGCGCTGTGTCCGGTTAGACAACCTGTGGACGCTGTAACGGTCTGTACTCTACATAAACCAAAGATGGCGTCTTCTTACTTATTTTCCACAACTGTACACTTCTGCCCACTCACCTGTTGCTGCACTGCTGCCCATTCACCTGTTGCTACACTGCTGCCCACTCAATAAAACTACGCTACAAACCTAACCTTTGCAGCAACTGACCTGTAATAATTTTTTCTCTTTTGCTCAGGCGACACAAAAGCATCACATTAATCTCTTAATTACTAGATTACAGAAATGAAAGCTTTTAAAGACGCAATAGCCTCAACTACATCAATATTTCTAGACAAACTGGGAAACATTATGTCAACAAGAGGCTTTTCTCAGAAGAAAAAACTTCCAACAAAAACTCGAATTCAGGATCACTTCTGTTAATACGAGCTGCTGCAGATCCAGTGTCTATTGAGTTAGATGCTTCCAGAATTGTCCAACATTCAATTGATGCATCTTTCGTTTCCAGTACAGCATTCTGCTCATGAAATTGCAACGTGTCGCAGATGGCCTTGGAATTCGACAGACAACAATGTTCTCCAATGCAGCCACTTTTTGAGGAGATTTTGAAAAACAAAATGCTGGTATTCCTGACCAGCTGTTACAAAATACTGGAACATTAGTACTCTGTGATGCTGCCTATTCAAAAATGCTATTCAGTTGGTGTGAATAACAGTGGGTCAAGTGAGTATTGGTATACACTGCTTCCACAGCTGTGTTAGTACGCCTAAGACCACCTGTACCATCATAAGTTTGAACAATGAGCTTGTGTGGAAAATCACAAATTAAAATCTGGAGGTTTTCAATAATACATTTGATAATACTTTTGGTGTCTGATTAAGTTAAAAAAAAATCCCCCGAATCACTCAACAGGTTTCCCCTTGTTGCTCATACCTGAGAACATTTACCTACATTGTGTCGGGGGACAGGAAGCCAGAGTGTATTTATATACGTTAGGCTTTTATCGAGTCATCCCCCCCTCCCCCAGGCCGAATTACTGACCAAGCCCAGGATGCAACCCCCATAACAAGCTAACTGACTCCTGAGTACCTACTCACTGCTAGGGTGAACAGGTCCATTACGTGAAAGGAAATGTGCCAAACCTGACCACAGGCTTAATCAACTAAGCCTCAAATTACCCCTGGATTGGTAGCATTCAATAGTTTCATCGTGTCCTCTAAGAGAGAGTTCAAATTTTCCACAACAATTGTCTAGTTTATGATTTTGGACAATACAGTTCTGTTGTATCCACCTCTTCGTTATGTTTTGCAACCGAAAGCTTGTGTGCCGAACCAATTTGAGCTTAACCCAGCACTGATAAATCACTCACCTTAAGTAAACACTAACGAGGCACTGCCGGAGTGACGAGGCTGCACCCATTGCAGCTCCTCCTGGTCAGATGTGACGTCGATAAATCCTACACTATTGTACAGCATGAAACCTCTATTTTTGTTTCGTTTAATTAAAATTTCCAAAATTCTGTTATAAATATATTGTCAATAACATAAAGATTATGACACATTTGTATGTTGTGTATTATTCTAGTGCGAGGTTGATGGAGTCGTGCACCTGGCAGCGTTGGGGGTTGGGGGGGGGGGGTCAGGTACTTTTTTTAATAGAGTATGGGTAGGATATTTTTTTGTTTAATTAATTAGGGAGTGAGTTCCATATACTGTACTGGGTCCTTTTATTTTCATGGAGTGCTTACACAGATTTAGTCTAACTCTGGGAACATCAGAAAGATAAGTAATGGTAATGTCTTCTCACAGACATAATAACCTAGGATAAAACCCCACACTTATGTACAGTACTTGTGAAATTTATGGAAAGAATTTCACCAAGTCTTTCCCACTCTCCTGAGTGTTGTTTCAAGGTCGAGTGTGTGGTGAGAACGAGACTTACATCTCAATGTCTAATCAATGACTGATTGGTGGTTGAGATGTAAGTCTGATCCTCACCACACACTCAGACCTTGACAAAGCACTCAGGAGAGTGGGAAAGACTTGGTGTAATTATTTACATCAATTTCACAAATACGTAAGTGTGGGGTTTTTATCCTATCAAAGAAATACAGTATTTCTGATGTGGTGTTCATGGATTCTATTACTTCTTTCAAGGAGGAGTTTCAGGGAATCTAGGAACAAGGTTTTGTAAGTGTATATAGCAGAAGAGAATGTGTGGAGTGAGTGTTTGTTCAGCAAGTTTAAGGATTTGTTATAGTTCTGATAACAGATTTTTGCTGTGTGATGATGGGCATGAGGTAATTTGCAGTGGTTGAACCTCATCCACTAATCTATCCCAATTGTATTTTAGATTGTGATAGATTAATGAGTGGTATAGTGTAAGTAGCGCAGAGTAGAAAACATAATACCAGTACAGTACTCTATCTGATTTTTGTCTTAATAAATTGACTGATACTTGTATAAACAGATATTAATTAACCAAATAGAAAAAATTGTCACATACATTACGGGTATATTATGATACTACAGTACACATACTGTAAATCCTCGAGAAGAATGGGGACCTATGGCAAGCATCATGCTCATTGGACCTCCTGGTCCCTTCCTACTTATATTGGATCTACTGGTCCCATCCTACTTATTCGCTGTATCTCCGTAAGTATCCAAAGGACTCCTTACCTCGATCCTAGTAGCCCCTTCCTATTTACTAGACCCACGTAAGTTATTCACTGGGCCCCTGTATTTTATTCACAGAACCCCATAATACAGTGTATATATTTTCCAAAGCTCCCCCCCTTCCCACTGGACAGGACACTGAGGAGGGTGAGTGGAAGGAAGAATGAGTGAGGTGACTGGGAGGGGTAGAGAGCAACAATTTTTAAAAATTCATCATTAATAAGGCATAAAAAAAACACATCTGCGATAGGTTCAATAAAGTTTACAAATTACAATAACACACGAAGTAATATTAGACATGAGGGTCTTGCCCATGTAACTTGACTTGGACTAGAGGACATCATACCTACAAGATCCTTAGAGTGCCAGGATCACTATTGAGTAGGATGTCATCGTTGTATCCTACATCCATGGTCCTATCACTGTTAATACCAAGCAGATATATCACACTATATATATATACTGTATATGGATACTCATTATTTAAGGAAAATACATCGGCAAAGTCTTATGTGTGATGTAGTGCATTCTCTTTGAATGCATTATATTCAATGCTTTATAAACTGCATCAAATAAAAATAAGGAACAAGCCCTTTACTTGTAAATATGTATTCTACACTATTATCTACTAGTAATTATTGACCTACACTAGTTAGAAATATTAAAGCTTTCATCCGATTAATTTTATATCTGTCCTTCCTGCCTGCTACAACTGCCCTTCCTGCCTGCTACAGCTAACCCTTCCTGCCTGTTACAGCTACCCCTTCCTGCCTGCTACAACTGCCCTTCCTGCCTGCTACAACTGCCCTTCCTGCCTGCTACAGCTAACCCTTCCTGCCTGTTACAGCTACCCCTTCCTGCCTGCTACAACTGCCCTTCCTGCCTGCTACAGCTAACCCTTCCTGCCTGTTACAGCTACCCCTTCCTGCCTGCTACAACTGCCCTTCCTGCCTGCTACAGCTAACCCTTCCTGCCTGTTACAGCTACCCCCTCCCTGCCTGCTACAGCTACCCCCTCCCTGCCTGCTACAGCTAACCCTCCCTGCCTGCTACAGCTAACCCTCCCTGCCTGCTACAGCTACCCCCTCCCTGACTGCTACAGCTACTCTCGCTGCTACAATTAAGTTCTCCACTACTGCTAAATGCACCAAGGTCTGCTCACTTCCTATTAAAGAAAAAACTCCCAACCCTCTCAGGCCTTTATCATTAGAAAAATGACTACCAGGAGAGCAGTAGAAACAGTTTTATAGGTCCAGCCCATGCACCAGGGAGGAGGGAGGAGGCTACATCAGACAGAACAAATGGTTGACTTAAGTAAATACTGTACCTGGGACACTAGACAGGAAACGAGGAATTAAGAGATAGGGTGGGAGCAAAAGAGGAATAAACCCATGGGAGAAAAGCATAGGTATACACTAAAGGATAACTAGAAAACAATATGGAGACATGGACAAAAAGCATGGAGAAAGGACTATTATCACAGATTTTCTAACCTGTATTTCTTTCCAATTTTTAATTCTGCCAATATTACATGAATATTGGAAGTAGGTGTACAATATTGTACTAACTTTTAAATTTTAGTGAGCCTTATTTAGGCTAACATCAAGAAACACTTAAGCCTTTTAGCAGTTCATTGTGAAACATTAACAAAGCATATGATGGAAATAATTAATATAACGGTCATAGAGTACAAATACTATCCTGAGTACAAATAGTACAAATAGTGCATAGTTATCTGTAAACTTATACATATTTGTACATAGAGAACAAATAGTACATAAAGTATTTTTCTGATAATATTTTTCTAAAAGTGCCACTGCACAAGTACTCTACACATGACTGACTTTACACTGAGAACTAAAAAGTAAAAACAATAACTTTATTCTTTCAGTGAGAAAGATAAAGAAATGGGTGTGAAGATCTGCTTCAGTGCATCTAACAACTTTACAGAGTACAAATCCAGAGAGACAATGACACACTGGATAAAACAAACACCTAAATGCCATGTCAAGTAAATTAGAAATAAATGATTAGCAATCCTTCAAGACCAAAATTTCACAGTTTATAATGATGCATTTGTTAATGAGATAGCAATAAAAAAAAGGTGTTTATCTTGTAAACATCTTGTTTTCACAATAAATTAATTAATATCTGCGTGCAAGTGATGCAAGCATTCGATGTATGATGGTATTGAGGAAATATGTATAGGTATTGTGTGCCATTCTCAACCAAACTTGATCAAAGAGTGCAATCTTGAATAGATTTTGGTTTTCTTAAGGTCCTAAGCACATCTATAAGTAAATCTACACAATTTGTACACATTCATTAGAAAAGTATATTTCTTAGGCCATTAACATTAAAGAATTAGAGGGAATTGGTATTTTCTTTCACTTGGCATACAATCATCTTGAAAAATAAGTTATGTCTAAATAGTCAATACAAGAGAAGAGAGAATAAAAATTTTCAGTAGATCATTCTGGCACTGAAATTATTACAATACTGTATCTCTATTCTTTTGTACCTTAGACTATTCTTTGATATATCCACAACAACTACCTGTCATGCATTATGAATGGTGGAGACAGGCCTTCATCAACTGTCCTCCCTCACTGTGACAGCCATATGACTTTCTCACCAAATAATGGCAATGTATTGTCATTACATGTACTAATAAACACTGTATTACTGCATATGCTATTCACATACAGTATACTGCTCTCACATGCAACTTACTTTTACCAATGAACTTACATTTGAGTCATAAAACCCCTAACATACACTCCGTCAAGCATGCTTCTTGGACTGTCTGCTTACATCCGCCTTTTCATTCATAAAATGAAAACTAATCAACTTCTTTTGTGTTGTGCTGCCTCACTAGAATCCTTCATGCTATCCAGATATTTACTGATTGTACAAGCAATGCCCTACAATCTTTTCTTTTAAATCTGATAGTGAAGTTTACTTTTTCATTTAAATCTTATATCTCTCTCCTTCAAACACAAAGAAGAAATTGTTAGTTTCTATTTCAGTTAAATTAAATTTCCACTGCATAGTAAATATCCAGCCAAATACAAAGCATACCTTCTTCTCTGACCGAGTCTGAGAGTGACTATTATACATTATACAACAGTAGTCACAATTATACTCCTCCGTACGGCCCACAACAATTCACAAACTGCTTTAATATTGTTATCATTATTGCATTCTTACCTCTTCTACACACTCTGTCAACTTACTATGAGTATCAATACTAAATATATGTACCATACCTTGTAGTGCAACTCTAATTTTTCCAAAATCATTGCCTAAAATTGGCTCCTCATAAGTAATTTTATTTGAATGCAATACCATTGGTATGATTCTGGGGATGATGTATATATCACTCAGTCAGGTTTAAGCAACACTTAGTCTGATCAGTAACTTGATGGGTTGTCACATGGACAAAGTCTGGCCCATAGCTAATGGAAGCTCAACAGGGTACGGCTTCCTGTCCCTGACAGGATACAGCTTCCTGTCCTCGACAGGGTACGGCTTCCTGTCCCTGACAGGGTACGGCTTCCTGTCATCAACAGGGTATGGCTTTCTGTCCTCGACAGGGTACAGCTTCCTGTCCCAACAGGGTACGGCTTCCTGTCCTCGACAGGGTACGGCTTCCTGTCCTCGACAGGGTACAACATCCTGTCCTCAACAGGGTACATCATCCTGTCCTCAACAGGATACAGCATCCTGTCCTCAACAGGGTACAGCTTCCTGTTCTGAACAGAGTACAGCATCCTGTCCTCAACAGGGTACAGCTTCCTGTTCTGAACAGAGTACAGCATCCTGTCCTCAACAGGGTACAGCTTCCTGTTCTCAACAGGATACAGCTTCCTGTCCTCAACTGGGGTACAGTGTACCCATACCCAATTATTACCTAATCTGTGGAACAAAATATAAATACAGTATTAATTTTTCAAACTACTGTAACCGTACAATACTTAAATACAGTACTAAACAAAAACGGTTTTATTAAATATTTTTATTTTACCCAACATTAAAACCAAATTTATACTTTAATCAATACTTACTTAGATGGTTTGACCCATTATGGTATAAAACCAAATTAACATTTAAGTAATTATCAAAAGCAGGCACCAAGCTGGGGAGACTATTTAACACTAATTAACATTTAAACACTATTATATTTACCAATACGTGTATTCAAACATCAGGTAAATATGTTCAACTATTGAATCACTATGTAATTAATCTTTTACAAAAAAAAAATCTTGTAAGTGAAAAACTTTGTTTTGTTTTATAATTATACAGATGCACAATTTAACACACTAAAAACAGATTTAACATACAATATAAATCCTAAATTATTAATTTTTGTTATTATGTATTTTTTATCATATCACAAACATTCCCATTATTGTGATGTATGGTAGTTTTAGTTTCGTTCCATAGTACTGAGAGAACAGTGTAGTTAATCCAAAACAGTAACTACTTAGATTTTTATTTAAACTAATTCTATTTCTATTTTCAGTCATTAAATACTCTATATAAAATTTCTAATATTTGGTGAGTTAACTTAATTGTTAGCTAATTTACTCATGTTACGCATGCACACCATACACATGCATCCCTTAATACACACAATTATACTACAACACACTTTCAGAGGCCAAAAATTACATTTATGGCAATGAAATTACTTCCACTGTCATAAAACCTCATTGGTACTACCATTCCAGAGCTTATGAGGGCGGATGTCAGCCATAGCATCGCCAGCAGCCTGACTCTGACGATTACTGACAGTGGGTTTCGATCGCAAAAACAGTGGGAGGGAATCTTGGTCCAGATGGTGCATGTACGAGAGGAAGATGGTCCACATAAATGAAGCTACAGAAACCACAACTACACGATTCTTCTCCGCAACATATGCAAAGTTGATTGTTTGAACCAATGGCCAAATGCAGACACCAACCTAAGAGGGAACAAAAAACATTTGTGCACCAAATAAAGATCATACCTCGGAATATTTTAATACTGTAGTATTATTTATTTATTTGTCATTACCAGGATAAAAAGGCATAAATGAGCAGTGCTAATACACTATCTTGTTAATAATTCATAGCTATTTGCATGAAAAAAGTACATAAACTGTCTCCCACACTACTTTTCCAATGTTTCTGGAGAGTGCCACCTCACTCCTTTGAGTGATTATGATGTTGATGACAAATATGCTGACATCGTCCCCATTTATTTGACATGAGAAATGTGTTCTATAATTTTGTTATCTTAATCAGGCCCAGTTATTTGTTTTATTTATTTTAATTGGGCATAATGAAAATAACTTTGCTTAGCAATTCCTTAGAATTCAGTGATTCTTAAACAGGAGACTGGTACACACAAAGATGAATGAACTAGAGGGCGGGAGTGAATGAAGGATTACTGACGTACAGTACTTTATTCAAGATACTATACTTTTTTTTTTCTATCATTCAAAAAACCAGTATTGAATGTAATGAAACGCCATTTTCTGAGTGAGTCCCGGAGGCTTCCCAGGACCTTTCAGCAGATCGGTCCAGTCCAGTACGTGGCTGATTTGATCTTCTCCTCCGATCTTCGCGTCTGGTCTTACTGTCGCGGGTTTATCACCACTTGTAAGGTGATCAAGCAACCCGCCCTCTTAAAAGTAACGTTGCTTTTCGCTCATATGCACTCAGAAATGGACATAATTTGAAATGAAATCGGCTCACAAAAGTGATGTACTGTCCCATTTTCTGTTTGAGTCTTCCATCTTACTTGGTTAGGTTAGGTGAGGAAACATTCAATTAACGTTTTTCATGACGTTTTGAAACTTTAGGAGAATTTCCTAAAGCTACCAGAGGACCCTTAACGTACTGTTTTGGAAATAAAATCCAAAATTTATTTTAAACTTTTTTTCATTTTCAAATTACGTTCATTTTCAGCTATACGAACAAACGGCCAAATTCAGACGTAATTTATAAGAGGACAGGTTGGATCAGGTGGCTTTGTTTATGGTGTCCCACCTGTGTGTTTCGTCTCAATGGCAGTATGAAGTTTCCTGGCGATCCTTTCGTCATTTTTGTCTCTTCGTAGGTTATCTTCGATTTCGGATCAGGTTTTGTCCTTTCTCTCTTGGTTGTTTCAGGACTGTCATCTTATGTCAAATACTGTCGCATCATATGAGGATGGACAAGGATGTTGGAGGGCTGCTCCTGCTTGGGTTCGGGGTGGATGTTACTTCCACTCCGTTTCGTCAGCTTTCTTGTGCATTGTTTCACCTCCAGCCTGCTTATGCGCCGCCTTAGCTATCCTGGCTGTTGGACCAGGTGCTCTCTTTTCTCTCTTCTCCTGGATTTGTGCTGGCCCCTTCGGTTCGGAATTGTTTTGATAAGGTTCTTTTCTTGTTGGCATTGGCCTCTGGGGTAGGTTTGTTCGTTTGCAACCATCTTCTTCATTTCTGGCAAAGAACGAGACAGCGACTTTCCAGAGGGGCCCCTTGGATTGTTGACGATGGTTGGTTCGGCAGGGGATGCATCACGTGTTGTGTCCTGTTGTGGCTCTTTGCCGTTATTTGCGCGCCATGGCCTCAGTGGCCTGGGACGTGCTTTGAGTTGCAGCCCATCCTCCGAATAGATACAGTAGTACATTTTAATACTAAAATGTAAAAATACAATTCTGACCAGCGGCATAGTACATAAATACACTTAATCGCTAGCATCACACCAAAATATTGTGAATATTAGAGTTTACCTGAAAAGCTGTATAGAAAACCACGACCTAACCTAACCTTGGGAGTGTAGGATGACAATTTATTGCTTCTTAATTACATTAAGTACATAACCTATAGCTATACTGTATTGCTATTACAATATTAGTTTTTATAAAACTAATAAAACAAAACTAAAGTCTTTCCATAAATTATAATGTAACTCAGGATATTTTCAAATTTTTGTATAAAATCTCTGTTGTTTAATAAAACTGAAAAAGAAATTCTTTATATTTAAAACTTGTGTATAGTATATAGAATTGAACACGAAAACTTCAACCTAAAAGTTTTGAGTGTATTCACACAAAATTAGGAGAATATATGAGGAGGTAAATGTAACAGCACTATTAAGTGTATTTATGTACTATGCAGACAGTCAGGAATGTACTTATCACATATAGTATTAAAACGTTTCGGAGGAAAGGTTGTGGGATGACCCGGTTTCCCTTTTTCCCTGTTCCAGGACCCCTTTTTCCCTGTTCCAGGAGTCGGGTCTCCCAGGTCGTCCACAGGATTATTCGGTTCAACAATACTTGTGGTCTATCCTCATGCCCATAATGTTCGCAAATTTGCTGCTTTAGCTGCTGTTTTTGGTAATATGTTTTGGGGTGACATTCGGGCATTAGGATTTTGGAGGTCAAACAGGATCCTGGCCGCCCATTACCTCGTTAATGTTCCTGGCCCTAGTTGGGCATGTGTCGCATTGGGTCGCAGATCGCAGCCAGTTGTCTCAACTTCAAGTTGAGGTGTGAGTGGTATCTGCCTCCCGGTAAGTTCCTCCTTTTCTTTTTCTGTGGTTAGGTAGCTCCGGGGAGCCGGAGGGGCTCTCCACAGAAAACCAGTGTTAAATGTAATGAAACGCCATTTTCTGTGCGAGTCCTGGAGGCTCCCTGGCAACCCTCCCTCCCTCCCTCCCTCCCTCCGGTCAACAGTTAAGTTTTTTTTTATATTCAGCCTCTGAACTGTAGTTGGGTGGCCGTGTGAGAATCTGGGGCTCCCCCTTCCCCATTAGAGGGTGGGGGAAGTTGCGCAGGCAGCGACAAATTTTAGGGTAATACTTAATACTTGGAGGTAAAATTAATATAATAAATCCTAGGCTAAACTTTAACATTATTTTAGGATGATAATATAAAGAGAGCAGACAGCAAGGCACAATAACATGGCTCAAAATTAAGGAAGTCACTTCCTTGGGTGTCATACTAAAGAGTTTTCTTCATTTTGGTTTTTGATATGGTAGTAATGCACATAATTGGTTAAGTGAGAATTATTTGCTATACAGTAGAATACATAGTGTACAGGTACAGTATTTAGATGCAATTATTGAAAGCTGACAAAAGTACCAGTAAACAGTGAGATTTTTTAGCATGAAACTATACAAATATTTGGCATGTATAGTATAGATATATATAATTCATATTGTATAAGAGCATGAAGTACTGAACCTTCCACGTAGGAATGAGTTTCTCCTTCCATTCTTGGACACACTCGGCCCATGGTCGCCCCTCCAGCAAGGTGATGCCCAGGTAGAACTGTGTCTGAGCTGCTGGCGCAAACACAATCTGCTCCAAGCCAGCCTGCACCACACAAATGCTTACTCGTATCTCATTAGATAGTAATTATCTTTTACTTGAAAAATATACAAATTTTATCAAATAACTTCTCCAATATTACTAACTTCAAATGCCAACAGATAAATCAACCACAACCAATATCTAATCATATGGTACAAGTTAAATTATGTCACTGGATATAAAAATTATTGTATTAAACTGTTCTATAACAGAAACTGCTTTCATTAAATTTTGTAATTGAGATTTATGAATTACAAGTTCAGGACATTATTAAACTACTGTACCTGATATATTTTCTTCATTCATCCCACGTGTTCCGCTCACCACAAACCTGCAACATATTTCGCTCACCACACACCCGCAACATGTTTCGCTTATCACTCACCTGCAACACGTTCCGCTCACCACACACCCACAACATGTTCAGCTCATCACACACTCGCAACATGTTCCACTCACCACATACCCGCAACATGCTCCGCTCATCACACACCCACAACATGTTCCGCTCACCACATGCCTACAATGTCCTACAATCATCATCCAAATACTAGTCACAAACACATTTTGTCTTTACCTCTGGCCACCAATCCGAACATACCTCTGTGCCTTGTTCTTATACACTCACTACTTTAGCAGCATTCATTATCAACTACTACTTCAATGAGAAAATCCACTCTGGCTCCGAGTTGACTTAACCAACTTCAATACTTCAACTCTCTCCAAATTGCTATTTCTTGCTCTGTTCAGTCCCTTTCATTCTACCACTTATGGAATATATTTTGCTCTCATTCTCATCAGTTCCCCACCTCATTACAGACTACTTTCTGAACAACATATGTAAATGAGATTCAAATATCCGAAAGTCCTCTGCACACCCAAGAAACAATTTTAATTCTCTATTGATGAATTGTTATTATAAAGTACAGCACTGTATATAGAACAAAATTTGCTAGCAAAAGCTCACCTTGTAGATTGCATGCTTGAGTGTGTTTCCTTTGACAATTATACTAGCGAGTCTCACCCAAGCATACACTGTCGGGGCTGTGGCAAATGTTCCAAAAACGAGGTAACGTACCGACTCCATCAAGTCATACTTATCTCGAGTTTTGTCCAGAGACTGTTGCACCAGGTTGGAGGTGGGCCACAACACCGAGTAGGTTGCCATCCCACGCACAATGGGGTAATGCTCTCCAACCCTCTTTATTGCTTTCAATAATTTTGCCATTATCAGAGATTTTACAAGCTTCAAGTATCACTTGGCAGATTAATGTATTAATATATGTGCATAGAAAAGGGTACCTTTTTAATTTAAGCTCAGAAATCTATCGAGAAGAAAATAGTGCACAATTTTCATTTTTATGTTAAAAATAAAGTGTTATAAGTTAAAGTATAGTTTCAGATGTCCATGTATAAGTTATGCAAGTCCCTTTTACCTGGAAAAAATTAAAAAAAAAATCAAACAAGAGCACTGAAATTAATCATGCCACACACCCACAATGAAAGCAAGAGCAGCAAGGGCAGCAGGGGCAGCAGAAGCAGCAGGAGCAGCAGCAGCAGCAGGGGTAGCAGGAGCAGCAGCAGCAGCAGGGGTAGCAGGAGCAGCAAGGGCAGCAGGGGCAGCAGAAGCAGCAGGAGCAGCAGCAGGGGTAGCAGGAGCAGCAAGGGCAGCAAGGGCAGCAGGAGCAGCAGGGGCAGCAAGGCCAGCAGGGGCAGCAGGAGCAACAGGAGCAGCAGGAGCAGCAGGGGCAATGATTCAAAATGGAAGACTTTCTTTCCAGTGGGTGACTTAAGCCTCAAGTAACACAGACTTCAGTTTTCTACTTTAATGTTATGCCACCCACTTTGTTATGAATTATCAGTAAACAATACTTATTTTCTTAAACTTTCTTTACTATACAGTAATTAGATTTAATTACATAAATACTATAGTGAAGATCATACAGTTTGAATCCTTTAACCCACACCTCTTAAACACTTATTATTTTTATAAATTTAATAATAGCCATAAAGCTAATTTGTAGGATGCTATTAGGGATGGATTTGAGCAAGGTTGGTTGTGAGTTGGCTGAGCGTAGAGGGTATGTCAAGTGAGTTTGGGTTTTTTATCATTCTTGGATAAGCATATCAATAATAAATTGTAAATTTACTATAGCTGTAAAGAAAAGTTAGGCACACCTCTTAAAAGTTCTTAACAATTTTAACATTACAGATTCTGGTTGTTTTTACACAAAAATAGGGCAACATTATTAAAGTCACCATCCATATGCAAGTATTTCCTTTGTTAGTATCAACAAGTTGCCATTCTGTAGACACCAGATAACTGTATATCACATTTAAAATTTATAAATATCTGCACCAGTACTAGATTATTTCCTTATACTGTATATTATAAAGTCATACTGGCTTAGCACTTTCTCCTGACAATTACCTTTCTCAAATATTATTTATTTATTTATTTATATACAAGAAGGTACATTGGGTTGGTGAGAATACATAGCATAGTATTTACAATCTTGTAAAGCCACTAGTACGCGCAGTGTTTCGGGCAGGTCCTTAATCTAACAGATAATTTTAAGTAGGTCAATTCTAGCAGAATTAAATTTTAATCTATTCTGGGTTATTCCTGCCTAATAATATGAATAAAAGTGCCATACACAGCATGGTGCCCATATTTCAAGAAGCACATGAACAAAGTGGAAAGGGTGCAAAGACATGCTGTTAATAGCTACCGAACTGAAAAACTAAGAGATACAAAGAGAGGTTAGAGATTTTTTTTTTATTATTTAAACATACAAGAATTCTTACAGTCTTGTACAGCCACTAGCATGCATAGAATTTCGGGCAGGTCCCTTAATCCTAGATTTCCCCGGAATTCAACCCGTCAAATCGTTTAACAACCAGGTACCCATTCACTGCTAGGTGAATCGAAACTACAGTTAAGGATTGACGCCCAGTCAATCCTCCCCGGCCAGGATACGAACCCAGGCCAAAGTGCTCTCGAAGTGTCGGGCGAGTGTCTTATCACTGTGCCACGGGAACACACTTAACAAGCAGTACTACAGCAGACAAACTGCAACACTTAACAAGCAACACTACAGCATACAAGCTACAACACTTAACAAGCAGTAACGCTAACGACCAGCAGCACCACAGCTAACAAGCAGTAGCGCTAATGACCAGCAGCACCACAGCTAACAAGCAGTAACGCTAATGACCAGCAGCACCACAGCTAACAAGCAGTAACGCTAACGACCAGCAGCACTACAGCTAACAAGCAGTAACGCTAACGACCAGCAGCACCACAGCTAACCACACACTAGCCAGCAGCTGAGATAGCGACTGACACAAGCGCTGGCGAGACTGTACAAGTATCTAGGTCAAGCGCCGAGTCGTCCTCATAAGAGTCTGGACGTTCCTCCTCAATAGTGAACAAATGAACACGTGCTCGTCGTCAACTGTGATGGAGTTTGTTCACGAATGAACATGTACACTGAACACGAAACACGACCAAAACATTGATCAGCTGATCCGGTGAGGGTTCATGGGAGTGAAGCAGCGAGCGCCACACTGAAGCTTCGTGAACCCCTTCCTTGGCAACCCGACTCCTCCTCCTCATCAACAAACCTGATTTACCTGATTTTACCTGCGGGGTCACTAACCCTAGTGGCCTCGACGAGGACAGGAAGCCGGCAGTTTGTCGAAGGTCCCCCTATTTGCCTTGGTGATCTTTTCTAGATATATTTTAAAACTCGACACAGTTTTGGCACGTACGGGTTTGGCGGGTAGGTGGTTCCATAGGTTAATAGCCCTGTGGAGTAAAAAAGCATCTCCTGTTCTCTGTTCTACGCTTACAAACAATTAATTATTCTAAATTAAGCTTCGCCTCATAATTGAGGCGAATTAAGTAAATCTTAAGTAAAAGTAAGTAAATCATGATGCAGTTTTCAATGTGTACCGCTACAACTATTTATGTACTGTTCCTAAATAAAGTATTATTATTATTATTATTATTATTATATTATTATTATTATTATTATTATTAATACAACCATAAGTGAACTCGGCCCAGTGAAACTATGCAGTTCATCACGCCAAGTCATCTACACCTTTTATTTTTATTTATATATACAAGAGTTCTTACCTTCTTGTAATGCCACTAGCAGTTATAGTGTTTCGGGCAGGTCCTTAATCCTAATTTTCCCTGGAATACGACCCGCCAAATCGTTTAACATCCCAGGTACCCATTCACTGCTGGGGTGAACAGTGAACATCACGCCAGACCTGTCTGTCCCCTGAAGCCCACATCAAGAGGTTGTATATGCCTACATAAGAACGGTCTTTAGAAATTTGTGTAAGGAATCATTCAGAACCTTGTATACCACATACGTCAGACCAATCCTGGAGTATGAAGCTCCAGCATGGAATCCATATCTCGTCAAACATAAAACTAAATTGGAGAAGATTCAGAGGTTTGTCATGAGAGCTGAGGTGTCTGAGCTACCAGGAGAGTACGGAAACTAAACCTCACTTCGCTGGAAGACAGAAGAGTTAGGAGAGACATGATCTCTTCCCCCCCCCCCCCCTCACTTAGGGGGGGGGAGTAAGTAGATCTATTGTGTAGACTGCCTTAAGGAATCCTGATTTAGGTTTCTAAATTATATTCTTATATTTGCCAGCGTCTCATATGCTGCCGATGTTACCTTGCTTTATGTGTGCCTCCGGTGTGAGTGTTGGACTTACAGTAAATCCACCCCCTCAATCTTTCTTTGCAATTCCTGTAGTTGCCTTCCCATTATGGTGTAGATGCCTTATTTCTGTTCTCCTCCCTTTTCCATCAGCATTACTTTACACTTGTTGGGATTGAATTCCAGCAGCCACTTGTTTGCCCACTGCTGGAGTTTGTTAAGGTCTTCCTATAATTTCTTGCAGTCCTCTTGTGTTTGCCTTCCTTTAAGAAATATAGACCAATTGTAATTTTTATGAAGTCTGAACTCGGGGATTTGATTTCGGAGTGTTTTCATGTTTTTGTAATATTACATTTTCTGAGAGAGAGAGAGAGAGAGAGAGAGAGAGAGAGAGAGAGAGAGAGAGAGAGAGAGAGAGAGAGAGAGAGAGAGAGAGAGAGAGAGAGACGGCACGGGTGGAAGGGAGGATGTTGAGGGAGATGGAAAGGGGGATATAAATAATACTGTACATCAATGATAAAATCAATTGGAACAATGTAGGGAGTTGTGGTCCAGAGGTAAGGTGCGCTCCCCGCATTGATCCAATTAATTTTCTCACTGATATAAGACGTTAGTGTTATTGCCTTGTATAATTGTATTTATTATTTGACTTTACTATACACAGAAAGATCAAGTTCAAACAAATCAGAACTTTAGTCTTGGAATTACTAAATGCTTAATGGCATGTATTTGGTTCACCTTAAAAATGGTTTCCCAGAGTAGGGGAAACAAAGCCTATCAAGGCTAATAGAGGTCACCTAAGGTCAACATTTCCCAGGATGCAGCCCACAACAGTTACCTAAATCCTGAGTACCTATTTACTGCTAGGTGAACAGAGGCATAAGGTGAAATGAAGCGTTGTCCCACCTATGTTCCGTGGCCGTAATGGAAACCGGGGCCTCTCGGCTGGGTACCGTTCCCCTGCAGCAACGTGTGTATAAGAATAAACATTCACACAGGAAAATCAACACGACCCACTTTACAAAAAGGGTTTTATTCCTTAAAGCTATACAATATACATCTTAAATAACAAGTGAGGACTTAACAGTGACTACAGTGGTACTAAGGGCTGGTGTGGCGTCGAGGCCCGACAGGCCAGCTGCCTGCAGCCTCCCCCACACCACAGAATAAATTATATGACCATGACCAAGAATGGTGGCCAAGTCCTCTCTTCCTTGGGCGTCGGCCAGGTAGAGAGGAGGCTCAAGGGGACCATTAGGTTGGTTGAGCAAGTGAAGAAAGAGAGGATCGAAGACTTACTTTGGGAGAAACTCGGACTGTTAAGGTACATCAATGTTTGCATTTTAATGGTTTTAAACCTAGACTAATTTGGTTTAATCTAAGTTGATTTAAAGTGACCGGGACTCGATTTAGTTTGACATGATATGAATTATGACTTGATCTAACTAGTCTAGTATGTATTTCTTGATCTAACGTGAACAAGTGAGCCATAGCTTGATACAGGTGAGTCTGGCTAAGCCCAGTCATACAATGTATACTACTCATGAATTTAAAGGCAGTTGCCTTGACCGTGACTGGTTATAATGACTGGAAGGAGATGAGCTAAGGGGAAACAGAATGACTTATAACTATGTCTTTATGGAAGGATTGTGACAGATGCTAAGTTCAAGCCATCAAGAATCTGAGGGATTAGTGGGATTCAGGGCCTGAAAAGCCTAGGGCTACATAAGACTGATGCATAAAGTCTAAGACGATATAATTAGGAAAGGTTAAGAATCAAGACGTAGAAAGTTTGGGTATGATGTGGCAAAGGTTTGAGTGAGGTTGACAGGAAGTCTTGAAGACAGGCGCAGGGCTGACCTCAGGGGATGACAGCCCGGCGTCTCCTGAGACCCTTGGCCTTGACACAGCGCTGGTGGTCGCGGAAGCAGATGACGGGGTCTGAGGTGCGGATCTCTTTGATTGTCGACTCTGCTAGGATTTTTGGTCCAGTTCGGGTTGACTTCTTTATAGAAGAACTTGGTGACTTCTTTGAGATGCTCTGCAGACGGGCATAGAGGGGTCGTATGGAAGCAGGCCTCGACCTCTTGGTGGTGGTAGAGGCGGCTGTGGTGGTGGTAGAGGTGGGTGTAGTGGTTGTGGTAGAGGTTGTTGAGGTGAGGAAGAGGGGAAATGTGATAGGGGTTGTGATAAGAGGGTCTACTGTGGTCACTACAAGGTACTCATCTAGTGCACCTATGTACGTAGTGTCTTCAGACTGTGGTGGAATTTCTGTAATAAACTGAGTCGTTACCTCCTGTGGAAGTATAGGATCTGTTGTCATGCTGCCTACTGTGTCCTCCGTCAGCCCTTCACTTTCCACCACGCTAACAGTCGTCGGGTTGAGGGGTTCCTCCGTGGTGACATCTTCATCCTGATTTTTCTCCACTTCCTCCTCCTCGACGACCTCACTGGCCAGGGTGGTCGTCTCCGGCAGGTACTCGGTGACGGCAACGGCGAAGACGACCTCGGCGCTGCTGCCGCCGAAGTCTTGGTCCTCTCCGCTGTCAGAGTGGTCGTCGAAGGGGTCGTACTCATAGTAGTCGAAGTTCTGTGACTCGCCTGAGGAGAGAGTAGTGAAGTAGTCGTTAGGCAAAAGAGATAGTACCTCCGGAGGCTTGGTGCTGTTGTGGTGGTAGGAGGAGTCCCCTTCCTCCCTCCACTCCTCACTAGCCTCCCCCACCTCCCCCGGATCCAAACTACTTTGTTGTTCAGTATGATCATCAACACTACTTGCCTGCTCTGTTACCAACTCTACTAGGTGATCTACTGTTGAGTCAGTGTCAGGGTGTGCTGGGGAATCTGTCGTCTCGTCTGGGGACACTCCAGCAACCTCCGCTAACTCGACGTCCTCCTTACTCTCTACTACATGGGTGAGTGTCTCATCTAATGGGTGGTTTGCTGTGGGTTCCTCACCAAGGGAGGTAATTGAAGTGTGATGTGTGCTCGGGCGGGTTGAAGTGGTGACAATGAGGGAGGCTGTTGTTGTAGGGGTGAGGGTTGTGGTGTTGGGGATTGTGATGTTGGGGGTTGTGGGGGTGGGGGAGGTGTTGTTAGTGATGGTTTGCTGGGCAGACCGGGAGTGAGGAAGTGATGGGGAGGACCTAAAGGGGTGGTCAAGGGGATGAAGCGTCTCAGGAGTGTCTTCAAGGTCGTCCAGGTACTCATCATAGTCAGATACATACTCTGTGTGTTGTTGAGTGTCGGATTCCGGTTCAGCATCACGTGCAGACGCGACATCTGACTCAGACGCAGTGTCCAAATCAGAAACGGCCTCGGGCTCTGGCACAGTGTCAGACTCTGGAACAGCATCATACTTTGGAATAGCATCAGGCTCTGGAACAGCATCGAGGTCTGGAACAGTAGTGGGTTCTGGAAGAGCATCGGGCTTAGGCACAACACCAGGTTCGGGTTCAGCTTGGGGCTCTCCAGTGTCATAGTCTTCATACACGGCATCTGGCTCGTAGGCGTCGGTAACAACTTCTGTAGAGGCTGTAGAAGAGCTAAGAGTAAGATGGTCTAACACGAATGTGTTTTCTTCAGCCCTGTGAATGACGTCTTCACGGGCAATATCTTCAGCAATGTCTTCTGCTACGCTAACATTGGTTTCTTCTGTAGCAGTTAGAGTTTCGTCCTCTTTCTTCAACTCAACCGCCGCCTCCTCGAGTTCCTTCTCGGAATCGTGTGAACTGAAAGACTTTGGTACTTCGTTTTCCGGTGGGCTACTGAAAACAACCAAAGTGGACTCCGCTCCACTAAAGCCATTGTTTTCCAAAACATCCAGAGGGACATCCTCATCAAGAGCCGCATCCTCTACACGGTCATTTGTTTCAGACAGGCGGCCTCGGTTCTGAGCTCGCCGGCGCGCCTTGAGCCACTCGGGAAGTTCCCGCCCTCTACTGGGGGCCAGGGTACGGGATCTGGTGGCGCTCACAGTCCTCACTCTGTTGACAGTCAGGGGACTTGGTCTTGAACGAGTTGGTTGGCTGGTCGTTTCTTGGTCCTCTTCATTACCAGGTGATGGACGCCTGTTTCGAGGCCGAAGGCGTCTACCAAAGGTTCCGACAGGAGGAGCTGTCACACCGTCAGCTCCTACCTCGGGTTCATTATTATCAATGTTTTCTTTTTCAGAGCGGAGAGGGTTAAGTGTCCGCGCGACAGAGAATGGCGGGAAGAGTGTCGCAGCTTCTGTCTTTTTCTGAATACTGCTTTCCTTCTTGCTGGTACCTTCAGTGTCCTTTTTAGTATCATTATCGATCTCCTTTTTTGATCCGTCGTCCGGTCTTGGTCTCCGCCTGATGAACGGGCGTCTATTGGCAGCGTTGAAGCTGAATCTTGGCTTGAAGGTGGTGACCCTGACAGTGGAGGTGGTGGGTATGGGTGCGGGAGTTGTGGGTGCAGGTGTTAAGAAGTCTTGGATGGTGTCTTCTTGAAGGACCGGTACAGTCTGGTCTTCCTCTGGGAGCTCTGTTGTGAACCTTGGGCGCTGGAAGGGCGAGAAGCTTTGCAGGCGAGGACGCTCAGGCTCCTGGAATGAAGGCGTAGTTGGTTCCTGGATGTCCTGGAAGGATGGAGTTTGAGATGTTGGGGTGAGCGAGGTTCGGGAGCTCTGAGGTCTTCTGAACGATGGAATGTGCAGAGACTGGGGCTCAGGGGATGGTAGAATCGTTGGTGATTCTGACTCCTGAACATGTGAAACTAAGGAAACCTGTGGTTCCTGGAATGGTGGAATTTGTTCTTGAGAATTTTCCAGTCCTTGAAAGCGAGACTTTTGTTCCTGGAAGCTTGTGGTTTGATGAAATTGTCTTGGAGTAGAGTTGAAAGGTGAGATAGTAGACAAGGGCCGAGGTCGTAGAGAGGACACCGTCTGAGGCCTCGGCGAGGAGAAGATGGGTCTGAGAGAGTTCTGCTTCACAGTAAACCCTGAATTTGGGTTTGGAGAGAACCGAGTTGCCGGTGTTGCTGGAAATGGACTGGGAGAAGGCTGCCGAGAGAAAGTCACTGGAGTTGGCCTAGGACTAAACGACCCCGTGGTTGTCAGCGTTACGGGGCTCGGAGAGTTTTCGAACGAGGAGATGGGTCTGGGCGTTAGCGTGGGGACAGGGGTGACAGGCACTGGCCTAGGGGAGGTCAGCAGCGGGGGTCTGAAAGTTGGCCTGGGAATTAGCTGCGGACGTGAGGAAGCCTGTTTGATGGAGGTGGGTGTTGCAGTGGTCTGCAAGGCAGTCAGTGAAGTGGTCAAAGGTGTTGGGGTGTGAGAGGAAGGCAAGGAAGTAGTGGAAGGAGGGAAGCTAGGAAGACCTTGGGGAGTGTGCTGAGGTTGGTCGGAACGTGGAGGAAACCCTAAACTGGGGCGGAAGTTATCGTCGGGGTTTAGGAACTCTGGCGTCTCGATGGGCTCTAATGACTTAAATATATTTTGGTCTGGATCTGGCAACGGAGAAGGAGTGAAAGACTGGCCGTGGTGTGGGAAGAGCTGATCAGGTTTTGGGAAAGGTTTTCCAGGCTGTGGGAAGGGTTGGTCTGGCTCTGAGGACTTACTGGGCTGTGGGAAGAGCTCATGTGGTCGAGGGGAAGAGGGCTGGCTATGCAGTAGAGAATTCTGATCGGCCTGTGGGAAAGGCTGATGTGGTCTAAGTTGATTTAGGGGCTGACTGGATTGAGGCAAGAATCGACCAGGTTTAGAAGTTTGGTCGGGCGTTGGTTCTTCTGACTGATTGAGGGATTGATCGGGTTGTGGGAAGGTCTGGCCGAACTGTGAAAATGAGTGACCAGGTTTAGGAGAGGTATGGTCGTGTTGGTCTGGTCGAAGGGTGGGTTGGCCAGACTGTGGGAAGAGGCGCCCAGGTTTAGGAGAGGTATGGTCGTGTTGGTCTGGTCGAAGGGTGGGTTGGCCAGACTGTGGGAAGAGGCGCCCAGGTTTAGAAGAGGTATGGTCGTGTTGGTCTGGTCGAAGGGTGGGTTGGCCAGATTGTGGGAAGAGGCGCCCAGGTTTAGGAGAGGTATGGTCGTGTTGGTCTGGTCGAAGGGTGGGTTGGCCAGACTGTGGGAAGTGGCGCCCAGGTTTAGGAGAGGTATGGTCGTGTTGGTCTGGTCGAAGGGTGGGTTGGCCAGACTGTGGGAAGTGGCGCCCAGGTTTAGGAGAGGTATGGTCGTGTTGGTCTGGTCGAAGGGTGGGTTGGCCAGACTGTGGGAAGAGACGCCCAGGATTAGGAGAGGTATGGTCGGGCTGTGGTTCTCCAACATGATTTAACTGTTGATCGGGTTGTGGGAAGGGCTGGTTGGGTTGTGGGAAGGGCTGGCCGGGTTGTGGGAAGGGCTGACTGGGTTGTGGGAAGGGCTGGTTGGGTTGTGGGAAGGGCTGGTTGGGTTGTGGGAAGGCTGGCCGGGTTGTGGGAAGGGCTGACTGGGTTGTGGGAAGGGCTGGTTGGGTTGTGGGAAGAACTGGCCAGGCCGAGGGGAGGATTGGTCGGGCTGAGGGAAGGGCTGGTTGGATTGGGGGCTGAGATCGTCAGGCTGAGGGGAGGGTTGACCGGGCTGTTTGAAAGGCCTGCCGTGGTTGGAAAAGGGCTGGTCGGGCTGTGAGAAATGTTGGCTAGGTCGAGGAGACTGCTGACTAGAGTGTGAGAAGGGACGGCTAGACTTGAAAGAGGACTGATCGGGCTGTATTTCTCCAGGCTGATTAAAGGATTCAATGGGCTGTGGGAAGGACTGGTCTGGTCGAGGGGAGGATTGGTCGGGCTGTAGGAAATGCTGGCCTGGTAGTGGTGAGGACTGGTCTGGTCGAGGGGTAGGTTGGCCAGATTGTGAGAAGAGCCGACCAGGTTTAGGAGAAGTATGGTCAGACTGCTTTTCTCCAGACTGGTTGAACAGTAGATCGGGTTGTGGGAAGGGTTGGCCAGGTTGTGGGAAGGGCTGACTAGGCTGTGGGAAGGCTGACTAGGCTGTGGGAAGGACTGGCCAGGTTGTTGGAAGGGCTGACTAGGGTGTGGGAAGGGCTGACTAGGCTGTGGGAAGGGCTGGCTAGGTTGTGGGAAGGGCTGACTAGGCTGTGGGAAGGGTTGGCCAGGTTGTGGGAAGGGCTGACTAGGCTGTGGGAAGGGCTGGCTAGGTTGTGGGAAAGGCTGGCCAGGTTGTGGGAAGGGCTGACTAGGGTGTGGGAAGGGTTGACCAGGTTGGGGGAAAGGCTGGCTAGGTTGTGGGAAAGGCTGGCCAGGTTGTGGGAAAGGCTGGCCAGGTTGTGGGAAGGGCTGGCCAGGTTGTGGGAAGGGCTGGCCAGGTTGTGGGAAGGGCTGGCCAGGTTGTGGGAAAGGCTGGCCAGCTTGAGGGAAGGAATGACCAGGTCGAGGGGAGGATTGGTCGACTTGTGGTTCTCCAGGTTGTTGATTTAAGAATTGATCAGGTTCTGTGAAGGGTTGGCCTGGGTGAGGAAAGGGCTGGCCGGGATTGGGGAATGACAAGCCGGGCTGGGAGGACTGAGGGAAAGCTTGGCCATGCTGAAGTTGGTGACCGGGCCGAGAGAAGGTTTGTAGCTGCTCATCATGATTTATGGGCTGACTGGGCCGAGGGAAGGTCTGACTAGGCTGGGAGATAGTTTGACCTGGTTGAAGGAAAGTCTGAGATAAGGGTTGGTCGAGCTGAGGGAAGGGCTGACCCGGCTGAGGGAAGGGCTGGCCGGGTTTGGGGAAAGTGAAAGGAGGATGGTCAGGGCGTGGCTGTCCGGGCTTTTGGAAAACCTGCGGAGCTGGAGAAGGTTGACGGGGTGGGAAGCCCTGGAACTGAGGAGAAATGGACGCCGGCTGAAGGCTGGGCTTGGTGGAGGGTTGGTGAAAGTTGGTATTAGGGGGCGAGAAGTTGACCTTGGGCTCACTCCTGGGAATGACCTGAACAGCTGGTAACTGGAAGGATAGGTCTTTTCCTATGCGGACGTTATCCTTCTGGAAATTGAGGGAAGCGGGTGAGTGGGTGAGTCCTGGGGTGGGCGTTGAGGTGGGTAGGAAGGCGGGACGACCCAGCGCTAGGTTGAGTTCCGTCTGGGAGTTGGGCACCACGATGGGTATGTCTCTCGACAGCTGACTCACGCCCTCGGAAAGGTCAAACTTGATGAATCCTGGTGGAGGGTTGCGAGCGTCAGGAGTAAGGAAGGTCGGAGGCAGCGGTGAATCTCCATTGTGGATGGTCTGGGTTCCATGCCCCCCTTGAGGCACTAGGGGGATCTTGACGTAGCCAGGCGGAGGGGAGACGTGGGAGGGGGCGATAAATACCCTTGGGAGGCGGCCATCTTCTTGAGTGTGGGGCTGAGAGTCGCGGGCGGTCAGGGCGGCCTCCAGCAGCCGCAGCTTCTCCCTGGCGTCCTTCTCCTGCTCGCGGGTGGTCACCAGGGACATCACCACAGAGTTGGACACCCCGCCCGTCACCACCCGTCCGTTGTGGTCACGTTTCTGTTTGTCAGAAAATTCGATGTCCTGGATGGATTCAGGGGAGAGAAGGGGCGAGGCATCGTGTAAAGAGCCCAACTGCTGGCGAGGCTGTTGGGAAGTGGGCGTGATTCTGGCGGCGTTGGCAGAGTTAAGATGTCTGATGGAACCTTCTGGAAGGTATACCAGCTGTACCCGTCCTCCCTGTCCGCTGGGGACGGATTGTGGCGGGAAGGTCAGGGCTGGGGTGCGGCCGGGCACAAGACCAGGCTTGATCACGCTAGGCTTCCCCACACCAGGCTTGTTGGACTTAAACGGAATGCCAGAAGCATGCTGGATGGGCTTGAAGGAACTGGTAGGAGGATGCTGGATGAATGTCTCAGACTGGATGAGGGGCGCCTCCTGGATGAAAGTCTCGGATTGGGCAAAGGCCCCATTCTTGATGGGGGCATCCTTGTTGATTGGCCCATCCTTGATGAGGGGTGTACTCCGGATTGTAGGGGCATCCTTGATGATTGGCGCATCCTTGTTGATGATGGGCGTATTTCGGAAGAAACGCGCATCCTTGATTGACGTCTCCTTGATAAGTGGAGTATTCCGGATGGTAGGGGCATCCTTAATGACGGGCGCATCCCGAACGATAGGAGTATTCCGGAGGCCGGGCGCACCAGGACTGACGGAGTCATCCTGGACAATGGTGCCGGCCGAGAGGACGCGAGCCTGGCGACAGGTCGGGCAGGGCCCTATAATGGGCTGCCATTCGCTGTAGTCCCACGGGAGCTGGGCCGCCTGGCTCCTCCACCCACACAACACCGCCACCAACACCAGCCTGAAACACAACACCACACTGTAATGTCTTCCTTAACTACATCATATTACTTAGAACTACTCACCCTAAATAGCATTGTAAAAATTGTTGTACCGGATTCTGTAGAATGTGTGTCTGTTCGGATCTGAAATCAAACAATGTATAAACGTTCGAAATAATACATAATAGGTGCCATGGTACATATCTAGAAGTACAATAAAAACAATAAACTCTAATAATAATAAAACTCTGATGCTAGAACCTTTACATAACTTAATCTTGTGACACCCTTTCACCTAATGCCTCTGTTCACTTAGCAGTATCTAGGTACCCGGAAGTTAGTCTCCTGGCGATAGTCAGTAGTTCTGTTCCAGGACCTTGGTATGAGCCGAACGTACATATATACACAAACTGCCTGTCCCCGACAAAATTAATAAAAAGTAGTTTTTTTCAGTTTTTCAGTATTTATTATATAAATATAATAATATTATATATAGAATATAGTAGTAGTATAATACTACTACTACTATTATTATTATTAATATTATAGAATGGGAATATTTCGCGTAGTTGATAAATGGAAGTACATGATAAAATGATAAGATGTGTAGCCTAAGATCATAGACAAGATCACTTACATTTAACATGTAATATCCAATATCTAAAATTAGTTTAAGTACTGTTTTACCTACATAACTTGCCATCAATATGTAATATTATATTGTCATGCATAACAAGCCGAGTCTTAATATATTTGTATTTTATTAAGCTACAAGCAGTGGAATTATTACAACTTTAATATTGAAGCCCACTTTGTCTACAAGGAACGAATACATACACCATTAATCGTCCTAAACTAAAAATAAACAATTATGCTAAAAACTTATGTCTAATTGCAATGTGTGTGTGTTTACTCACACTTTTTATCCACAAGAAAGCACCAATAACCTAATGGCCTTCAAGTATCACACGCACACTTTCTCCAACATTCACAAATAATACCAACATTTCACAATCTTCAAATATTTGTCTTCTACCCCTAAAGCATCTTCACTCATGGCCTGCAGCGGGCAGGCTGCCCCGCCCTCAACCCCAGCGGCACTCCTCCAGCAACAAAGGGAGAAGGAGTATGGTGTTTCCCAAGTCTGTACAATAACATACAATTTGGCGCGCAAATCAGGGTTATGAAACACTCACCTTGCAAACTACAGCTGATTCCCCCCCCCCCTACAAACACCGGGTGATATCCCTCAGGAAGTTGATGTCGGATATCAAGCAATTATTTGTCTCTATATTCTGCTCACCTACTGCAAATATTTAGGAATATTGTCAATACAATTACATTTGTTTAGACTATCTATATTCTTGAATTTTCTAAATCCAAATTAATATGTAAGTTGAGATTGGTTTTAAATTTCGACTGAAAATGCCTAATCTGAGGATTTCAGTTAAGTCTTATTAAAGTGAGGATAATTCTGGTATTCACTGTCACGCAGGACAGAGGGTCATACATAAAACAATAGGTCTAAACTGCAGGCTGAAGCATATATACATCATGGTTACAATCAATGTTTTAATGTATGAATATGTAAAAACAGCTTTCTATTGCACACTGCCACACAAGGGCAGGGAGGATGAGGACGATATAATGAGTGTGGGAGCCGGGCGTGGCTGCCGCCACCAGCCAGCCATGGGCCAGCTGGATTCACGAAGCAGTTATGCAAACATTTACGAACCTGTGCATCTTTTCTCAATCTTTGGCGGCTTTGTTTACAATTATTAAACAGTTAATGAGCTCCGAAGCACCAGGAAGCTGTTTAAAACAATAACAACAGTTGATTGGGAAGTTTTCAAGCTTCTAAACTGTTTAATAAATGTAACCAAAACCGTCAGAGATTGAGGAAAGATGCACAGGTTCGTAAGTACTTGCGTAACTGCTTGGTGAATCTGACACCATGCCTGCAAGTGACGAACCAGCAGCGCCCAAGGTGAGGGAGAGAAAGTCACGAAGCTTCACCACTAACGTGGGAAGAGTCACCAGATGGCCACCAAAATGAGAGTTGGGAAAGTGAGAGAAAGATGCCGAGTCTGTGACCAGTTCTGAGGGCTCGTGTTATATTTAGTTTGTTAGTTATTATTAATAAATCTCTGTGTGTGATTTTAGTGATTAATGATTAATAATTGTTTATTAATTATTAATAGTAATAATAATTACACAATTTGTTCATTTATTAATAATTAATTGTATCATTAATTAAATTGTTTATTTTAGTTATTATTAATTAATAGTTTTGTTTCAAATGTTTTATTTCAAATTTTATTTCAAATGTAAACGATAAAGCATCATTTTCATCTGATGCTTTAAATTAGAATTTTTGTTATGCCTATTTTTTACAATGTATCGTTTAATGCAAATAAAATAATTATTGTTAAATTTATACCACTTACTCAACATCATATCAAGCGGAACTTGCTGTTTTTATTATAGTCTATTATATTTAATTATAATGGTGATGTAAAACCATTAAACATTTTCTTGTATAAATTAATAATTTACTTAAATTGTTATAAACTAAGTTATTTTTATAAATGCGCAACTACTTTATGAATTAAGAGTTTTGAATCCAATTTTTTGTAACATTTGTACATTTATGGCTACAAATTTTAAATTTAAATTCTCAAAAAAAATAAAACTACGTAAATGAGAAGATTAATGCATTTCAAATTGTGATTAAAAATCTAAATTAAAATTAACACAAGCAACGACAAGAAAGACGAGGTCAGAACATTCTAAAGGTCCATCAAGCCATATATATGAGACATAAGAAGAGAAATAGACATAACAATGACTAGACTTAGGCTACGGATACCAAGCTTGCCACCTTAGGCTACCAACTTGGGAGACATCAATTAGAACGGCATCTAGTGCCTTAAGTTCTGGAGGCACATTGCCTTCTTCACTGCCACAGACATCTGTGCCAGGAGTGCCACAGACATCTGTGCCAGGAGTGCCACAGACATCTGTGCCAGGAGTGCCACAGACATCTGTGCCAGGAGTGCCACAGACATCTGTGCCAGGAGTGCCACAGACATCTGTGCCAGGAGTGCCACAGACATCTGTGCCAGGAGTGCCACAGACATCTGTGCCAGGAGTGCCACAGACATCTGTGCCAGGAGTGCCACAGACATCTGTGCCAGGAGTGCCACAGACATCTGTGCCAGGAGTGCCACAGACATCTGTGCCAGGAGTGCCACAGACATCTGTGCCAGGAGTGCCACAGACATCTGTGCCAGGAGTGCCACAGACATCTGTGCCAGGAGTGCCACAGACATCTGTGCCAGGAGTGCCACAGACATCTGTGCCAGGAGTGCCACAGACACCTATGCCAGGAGTGCCACAGACATCTGTACCAGGAGTGCCACAGTCAAACAACACCTCATCGACCTTAAATTACCTTATAATTATTATTATTATATTACTTTAATCTAAATTAAATTAGACAAGATGGAACACAGGAAGAGATCTCTCACAAGACATATCGGTCAAGTAGTTAAAACATCCAATATTTCCAATCTTTCAAAAATGTCGGACTACTGAGTCAGTACCAGAGCTCATCTTCCTGATCTATGTAAATGATCTCACAGGAGGGCAAGACTCGTTCTTCTCAACATTTGTAACTCAAAATTGATGTAGACGTTAAACACGGTGGAAAACTGTAAGAATCTATAAGATGACCAAGACAAATTGAAAGAATAATCCAACAAATGGCTAGTAGAGTTTAATTCAAGCAAGTGCAAATTAATGAAGGTTTATATTGGCAGCAGGAGATCGGACAAAAGTACAAAATTGGATAAGATAGGAGATACTCCAAGAAGTGGAGAGAGAGAGAGAGAGAGAGAGAGAGAGAGAGAGAGAGAGAGAGAGAGAGAGAGAGAGAGAGAGAGAGAGAGAGAGAGAGAGAGAGAGACTTAGGAATTAATATCTCATCGAACCTGTTTCTCAAACCCCACACCAAATAGATCACCATCAACATGTGCTAGGCTGCCCCAAACAAGAACTGTACCTAGAAATCTGAACACGCAGTCATTCAGAACCTTGTATCGGAACAATTCTGGAATATGAGGCACTAGTGTAGAATTCTTATCTCGTTAAAGACAAAATGAAGCTGGTGAAAGTCCTAGAGGTATGTCACTAGACTAGTACCAGAGCTGAGAGGAAAGATTAATGGTATTAAGTCTCACGTTAATGGAAAATAGAAGAGTCAGGGGTATCAAGATTGCAACATTCAAAAACTAAGTACTCAGTGAGTAACAAAAACGTTATAAAAGAAAACAAAAATTGCCAGAATTACAAATAAATGACGCACTAAGTTCAGATATGACAGAGCCCGAGGTGATTGAAGGGCGAAAGGCAGGAATATGAGCTGAAATTCAACCCTTGCGCACACATTCAAGTCAGAACACCGGAATCAACACATGCGACTTAAATTACAGTGTCTAGCAGGAACCTGTGGGTGTGGCACGTCCATGACGATGTATCGTCCCACGCCAGTTGACCGTCTACACTCTTCACCACCTATCATCACCATCACCTGAAGACACCATCTTTACTGTCTTCACGCCATAAGCGATCCTCTATCTTCTTAATTCAAGGCTTATGATATTTTCCTTTATTATTATTATTATTGTTATTAATATTTTTATTATTATTTTTATTATTATTATTATTTATTATTATTATTATTATTATTATTATTGCTGCTGATGTTACGTTGTTAATATCATTAGTATTAGTTTCGAGAACTATTATAATTAGCATAGTGTTTGTAACTTTATGAACGATCGTGTTTATGGCATAAGAGAAGATAATAATACTAATAATAATATTATAAACATTTCCCATCTCCCTCATGGCACGCTTCTCGCTGCTCACTTGCCACTTAACACGCGAAGGTCGCCTGACACTTCACACAAAGCTCTGAACACATCCATCACATGATAATAGACTGAACATGCAAGGA